GCGGCACCGCATCCCAGCCCCGAGGTGCCTTGGGGAGCAGGCGGAGATGAGGGCTGCAAAGGGTGGGCAGAGCCCCCTTACCGAAAGCAGGAGCCGCTCGATGAAGCGTTCCCCGAAGGAGGTGCCGAAGGCTCGGTGCTAAACCGGAGCTGAGCGGAGGGGCTGCGAGAGCTGGAACGGAACGGGATGGTGTGGAGAGCTGTGCCGAAATCACTCTGCCCGCTGCTTTTATTGGAGTACTGAGGCAGAGCAGGATCCAGGGAGGGTGGAATGAACGGTGAGCAAGAAACTCTGGGGGGCAGTGGTTGGGAGCGGCCTGGTGAGTGAGCTGAGCGATGAAAAGGAAGCGGGGTGACAGCGGGAGAGGAAACAGGAGCCTTGGATGAAGCCTTTTAAACATGCTTCACCTTTGTTTGTATTAAGAAGCAAAAGCCAGAGAGAGCGAGGCCAGTGTAAGCTGAGAAATCGCTGAGGTTAATGTTTCATCTCTTTAAAAATTTGATACGTTTCTTGCCCCGGTACTACCTCAAGCCATTTTTCCAGGAGCTGCAATGGTTCGTTATTGGTACTCAGATGCTTTGTAAATGCAGTCTCTGCTTTCTGTAGGTATGCCCTAGAGGCCAAAGAACCGATAACAACAAAATCTGCCGGGAATGTATGGGATCTCCGGACCGCTATGACTGGCTGTACCTTGGCTTCATGGCCATGCTTCCCTTGGTTTTACACTGGTTCTTTATTGAGTGGTATTCAGGAAAAAAGAGGTTCGTATACCACTTCTTCAGATGATAAGTTATTTAAAAATGGAAATCTCGTATCCATGAGTGATCCGTCTGAGGTGCTGAATCGAACTGTCCAGCAGTTCATGCTGTTGGTTGAGCTGACACGGTAGCACATAAGCTTTGGGCAGCTGGAGGGGGGGGTTTATTTACAAATATGAGAGTCCTGCAGGTCCTTCTTGCCAGTCACTGCCCTCAGGACGTGGTCTGTATCTCTTCAGTGTGTGGTGCCCAGTCCATCTGGCATTTTGGGCTGGATTGGGTTCCCCAGTAGTGGGCAGGAGCAGCGCGTCACGTCATGCCTTCTCTCCTGGGCCAGAAGCCCCAATCGGCGGTGCTGCACGTGTGCGACGAGAGAATGGCTTTGAGTTTTTTCTTTAGGAATATGTATACTGGGTTTTGGTCCTGATAGCACAGCTGATGTAACCTTTACCTCAGCATGGTGCTTCAAGAATGTTCTGTAAAACAGGGGTTTAAAACCGCAGCTGTGTGTGGCCATTAGGTGCTAGACTGGAACTTTTAAGAAGTAATGACTCTGGAGTGTACTAAATACTGAAAACATAGGGGACTGAGAGAGTTTAATGTGTGAATATATACCATCTTTAACAAGGACTTGCAGCTTTGAAAATTTTGCTTGTATCGTATGTAACAATGTTATCCCTTCTGAGACGTGTGGCGTCTTATCCTCGCGGCTGCTTTCTTTGAAACTGCAACAGCGTGAGTCTTGCTGTCCCTCGCCTGACAGGATGCTTGTGCTACAGCAAGCTTTCATTTAAGAAGCTGGAATGTTGTTCAGTCACATTTTACACACTAAATCATCTGAGATTGTAAATGAGTTTTCACATTCAGCTTCAAATATTTAACTTTTTATTGGAGCAGCATTGTCCTATCCTTGGTCACGGTGAATATTAACTCTGTAGAGGGTTCTGTACCGCATGGGCCTCCACTTTTCGGTCGGCGTTTAGATTTGCTTTAGTGTTGGCGAAATAGTAGTGAATCTCTCTCTCTCCTTCCACAGTTCCAGCGCGTTGTTGCAGCATGTCACTGCCTTGTTTGAGTGCAGCGTTGCAGCAATTGTTACGCTGCTCGTCAGCGACCCTGTCGGCTCTCTGCATATCCGCTCCTGCAAGGTGAAGAAGCTTTCGGACTGGTATACGATGCTTTACAATCCAAGTCCCGACTACATCACCACAGTGCACTGCACTCACGAAGCAGTCTATCCCCTGTGAGTGTAAAGACTTTCGTACTCCTGTCTGTCCCTTCCTTTTACACAAGCGTGTTTCTGTCCGTCCCTCTTCTCAAAGCTGCAGAAAGTGTTCAGATATAACACGGACCAATGGGTATCAGTCCCCTGAAGTCTTTTCATGCGTTGAGCTGTTTTTATGCATGAAACACTTAGCAACACCTAATGACTTTCTGAGTCACCAAAGAAGGTGGCGTAGTCTAGGCTATTTAGCTATGAAGTGTAAGACGTCACTTTTGTTCCCCTTTGCTGCACCTTGACCGTTTCACCTAGGAAAAGTGAGCCCATCGTTTTGTGTTTACATCCTTTGGTTGTAAATTCTTTAGACTTGACTGACTCTAACCCCGAATGCCCTGGTCCTGAGTTGAGTCTGCAGGAGAAAAGGAACTGCACATTTTCAGGAATTTCTCTCTTTTTTTTTTTTTTTTTTCCTTCAGGTACACCATAGTGTTTATATATTACGCCTTCTGTCTCGTGTTAATGATGCTACTTCGGCCTCTTCTGGTTAAGAAAATTGCCTGTGGTTTAGGAAAGTCTGATCGATTTAAAAGCATTTATGCAGCACTGTACTTCTTCCCTATCCTCACCGTCCTTCAGGCCGTCGGAGGAGGCCTGCTCTGTGAGTTCTCTCCTAATAACGCTAATAAGCATACCCATAAACACACACTAACAAATGACTTACGGGAGGGAGAGAGGGAAGGGACGTGGCACTCTTTTTGCTTTGAGAATAAGGACATTGTTTAAGGTTATCGTGAGGAGTCTTACCTGGAAAGGTTGCTCATTAGTAGCCCTGTCCTAACCAGGCTCCTGCCCAACACTGCTTTGTCCCTGCCGGTGCTGCTAGAGACTGTCCCTTTCCCAAAAAGGGAATAGAGGGGGTATGAGAGGAAATTACTTCAGAGGGAGTTAATTCCACTTTTTGCTAAGGCGGAGTTTGTCTGATTTCAGAGATGGGTTAAAGTATAAGTCTGGGGAGACGGCAGCTATTTTTGGTTTAGCTTCCAGCATATTTGTTGCATGAAGGGGACAGGTGCCACAAAATCCCCGCTCGGTCTACTTTTCTCGTTACCTGCCTTTTTCAATTAGTGATTTAAGCGTACAGTAACTCCACCTAGAAATGCTGGCATCGATTGCATTTGACAAAAGCTAAATTTGAAAACCTAAGACAGAAGTATTGGGTAGTTGTGTTTGGCTGACCCTTGCTGCTGTGTGTGCTTGATGCGATGATAAGAGGCGGGCTCCAGTAGCTTAGTTTACTTCACGCCCATGGTTATACATGGAAAAACTATCTCCGCTGAAATGTATATAATGCAGTCTCTTTTCCTGCTAATGTGTTCAATGTTTGCCTTTAGATTATGCCTTTCCTTACATCATACTGGTGTTGTCTTTGGTTACACTGGCTGTGTACATGTCTGCTTCTGAAGTGGAGGTAGGTAAACACGTTTCCTACGTTAAAACTCACAATATAAAATACTTGAATGAGCAGAGACCGCTTTGTCTCTTGCCTTTTCTCAGCAGTATATTCTGCGTTTAAGCCTCTTCCTTTATGACTTCTCCTCTTAGCTGGAGGAAGCTCCCGCGAGACTCCCCTCTTGTGGTGCACTGAGAAACTGTGTTATGTGCTGGAAGGGCTCAATCTCAGGAGGCCTCATACGGTCTCTGTGCATGACCTGTATCATCTCTTAAACATCAGGTACTAGGTAACGGGCTGAATGCTAACAGGATACTGTGTTTGTTTTGCAAGTCTTTCAAGGATCTTCTTGTCAGGAAGAAAAGGCTTGTTGTCCTCTTCAGCCACTGGTTACTTCATGCCTATGGAATCATCTCCATTTCCAAACTGGATAAGCTTGAGCAGGACCTCCCGTTGCTTGCCTTGGTACCTGCACCTGCCCTCTTCTACGTACTGACAGCGAAGTACACCGAGCCATCACGCATACTCTCGGAAGGTGGAAATGGACATTAAAAGGAGCCTGTGCCAACGACGCTGTCCTAATGAGCTGGATTAAGCAATTTTAGTGCTTGTTACGCTTTGGAAACTTCTGTTTTAAAAGAAGTTATTTATGTACAAGCCTTCTGGGTGAAACACCTCTGAGTGAGACTGTGTAATATTAAAAAGCTGCACTTTGTATTCTTCACAAGTATCTGGTATAGGTCGAAGGGAATGTCTTTTGTACCTATTTATCACTGTGAATCTGTATGAAAAGCCTGTGACACACTCTAGTACAGCGGTTTGCTTGTATATGTTTATTTCCTAATACAATGCTTTAGGTGGTGTTTGGATAAAACAATAGAGCCTGGTTTTCAGTAGACTTTCCATAAAACAAATAGAGCTTGAATATAACATGGAGCTTGGTTTTCTCATCGCACGCTCTAGCTTCTCTCCCCCACCAGTGGAAATAGACTTTCATCTTCCTTCTACCAAAAAATACAGTATGTTGAGCAGTTCCTCATTTATTCCTCACGATGCTTTAGTCTGACTGCTAGGAAGAAGGAGAGGAAAGGCGTTGTAACGTTCTCTGTGAAGTATAGTTTATGCTCTGTGTACTTCATGTATGGAGACCTCTTCCTGGAGATGATTAAACAGTAGTAGCCTTCCCACTAAATTCATTCTCTTATCCCTTGACTATAATTTTCCATCTAAGATAGGATTCAAGATTTTCTTTTCCTGACAGGCTACACCTTTTGTCAGCAAACCATTTGCTGTGGGTAAGCCTGCAAAGCATCTGTTAACTACGTATGGGTGAAGGCTTCTCCGCACCTTTCAGCACAGTCACCTTCGCTTCCTCCTGTGAGAGTGCTCCGTGCCTGCTTCATCCATTTATCAGCGGTGCCCACAGCTCACATCTTGCTGTGCGGCCGTAGCCGTACCCATGCTACAGCAACAGCAGTGATCAGACTGCTGACTCGAGTTCAGCAGCTGAGAAAGGAACAGCTCTTTATGCCATATCACCACTGCAGTGATAGAAACCGCTGGAATGACTGAAGTACAAAACCAGCACAGATTTAATAAAAAGAACTGGAGATTCCTTATCTCCTTAAAGAGATACCGTTATCTCTGCTCAACGTTCATCAAAATTTTTATACTTTACGTGAACACCTTGATAAGAATTGCTAAATCTTCTGAGGCTGTTCAGAAGTGAGCTTTTGGCCTTGCTGAAGCCAAAAACCCACTGACAGACTCTAGCCTTCTCTCTGTGTTGTACAGGAAGATACCCAAAGTGTGTATCCTGTATGTTGGTCGCCAGTAACTTAGTGCTGTAGTAGAAGAAGGTGCAGGGTCGCCAGTAACTTAGTGCTGTAGTAGAAGGCGGCGCAGAGCGGTGCTGAAGGTCTAAACGCGGAGGGAAGAGCAATAGGAAGATCTCAACTTAAACTCTTCCCGCTGTATGGATCATTGGCTGTAGCACTGCAAATAACAGTGTACATCTCTATAATAAAGTGTGACAGTAATGAATAATTTTTATTCTATTACCTATGAACGTTGCTAAGGACAGAGCCTGCCAGCAGCTCAGGGGCTTTGAGGGGTGTCGTCTCAGCCAGGCTGCCTCAAGATGTCGCTCTCCTCTTTCTCCATAGAAGGTTTGATTTCATTACATCTGATACGCCTTTCCTGATGATAGCTTTTTTCTGTGAAATGCCAGCTGACAGGTTTCACTGCTTCTACAAACAGTGTGCAAACAAACTAGGCCTTGCATGCAGAAGTCAGGTTTTATTTAGGGATTAAGGAAATGCTGGATCTCCTTAAGGAAATCAAAGAAATTCTGTCTATACTGCTACGTACAAAATGTAATTTGTAGCCACATGAATTTAGAGGACAGTTCTAAAAGCATGGTTTTAAAACTCACATGTTAAAATAGCATTTCCATAACTGATGGTCATAGGCGTATTTTTCTTTAAAATGTCCTAAACACGGTTTTGTGTCTACATTTGCACAGCTGTCACATCAGTCCACGCACAGTAGGCACGGGAGCAGCCAGTGCAGCGCCGTGCAGGAAAAGCCATTTGCAAAGGTGCAGTACTGAGGACTGAACACCTTTATGTGCATTTCAATGTATGGATATGTATTGGGTTTAACAGTTGGCCTATATATTGTTTTTAAAAAGAACAGTAACAACTCCCAGGTAGCATTAGCTGTAGTAAAGAGTACATCTTTTGATAGGCCTGGAGAATCGTGTTAATTTTAAAGACTGCAGAATGAGGGACTCTATTACAAGCAGAGCTTACAGGAAGGCAGTGCGCCCCGCGGACCACGCATGGCACAGCCAAACACTGACCTTCGTGCCGGGCTCTAGTGCTTCAGCCTTCAGCAAAACCTGGAATGCAAAATACAGATTAATAAACTCTTTTTATCACCTTCTCTCACTAGCATAAAAAAATGTAATGGAGTTAGGTAGATGCAGCTAAATTAGCACACGCCATTTTGAACGACTAAGCAATGTTTTTGTGCCGGCTCCTTGTGAAGAAACCTGCCCTGCACGATTGACACAGAAAATAATACTGGCGCTGGCCTTCAGCTGAAGCAGGATTCTCTTCTGCTGTGTGTTCACCACCCTTCCCCTCTCTGCCTGACTTCCTTCCAGGGACATTCCCTTCCCCTAAAAATTCATCATTCCTCTCCCTGCTTTCCTGTCGCATTACCCAGACCCAATGATTTCAAAGCAGCCTGTATGCCACAGCCGCTCAGCTTTGATAGGTGTAAAAAACACATTCTGTAACAAGCCAATGGTCGTACAGTGACCAAACCCGTGACTCATTACAAATGAGACCTCTGTGAACCAACAAGTAACGCAGATATCGATAGGTTCGAGTTGAAAGGAGGCCCTGAAGCGAGTGATTTGTATGCGCCTAGGGCCCCTGCGCAATATCACCCCTCCCCAAGACAAGAGTATAGAATATTGTTCATTTAAATGGAAACAGCAGTACAAATTGCCCACGTGTAAAATTCTAGAGAACATAAACATTAATTAACCATATAGCCCTACAGTGATATCCATGCAACCACAAGCTGCAGGAGTTGGGCTCTGCTGGTTTTATTTATCCTTTGTGGAAAAGCAAACATATAGTTCTGGAAAGATCAGTGAGGCGCAGGCTATTTTACAGTCTCCTCACTGTTATTATCACAAGCCTTTAGAAAGTGGAAATTAAAGCTAATAATATCCAGGCTGTGTTACAAAGCATGCCTAGTTCTAATAAACATACCACCAGGTCTCAATCTGCAGCAGAGTGATCAGATAGAACATGGCTGTGCTACTTGTGTTTTATCACAAACGGCTAAGAATTAACATATTCTGGGATTTAAAAAAAAAAAAAAAGAAAAAAAAAAGGTGGAAAAGAAAAAGTTTAGTGTATCTTACAGTGATCATCCATTCTAGATTTTTTTGTCAAACAGAAAAGTCAGTCCTTCCAGCTTATTTTGTAGCCTGCTATTAATATCACCAGTCTTTTCCTCTCGTTGTTGAAGTTCTGTTGTTCGAGCTGTCACTGCGTTCAGTATTTTCTGCTCATTTTCCAGAAATTCCTGTAATGACACAGAGTAGAATTTATTTTTTCTTAAAAGGAAAAAAAGAAACAACTCACAAAATGTCAGGAAACTTGTTTTGTTTATCCTGTTTTCCCGCACCTTGAGTGGTCACCAGACCTGTAGCTCTGCTGAAAGTTTTCATTAACTACCCAATCCTTGCATTAAAAAAAAAGCAAAGTTTGCCTTTCTAACAGAATAACTGGTGAAAAACTTTCTTTCATGATAGTTTGGTTTAATTCCTGTTCAAAATAAAGGCTGTCCCCAACTGGAAAAATATTACGAGGCTGATGAGCTGAATGTAGAACAGCAACAATGTCATTAGATACAGGGAGACTGCACAGGTTTAAGGATTGGATATAAGACCAGCAACAGGAACAATATTAGGAAAAATTATTTTTATAGCCAGGACTTATACGATGCTGGAAAACAGAGGTTTGATACTTTGCCCCTGCTTGACTTCAAAAATTGTAGTGCTTTATTTACAATATGAAATTTTATTTTTTACATGATAACTGAAATATATTTATGCAAAAAGGTATGATAGAAAATTGAAATTCACCTTTTGAATAAAGCTCTCCTCTGACCATCCCTTCAGAAAAAGACTAGAACAGAGTTAAAATGTGGTAGAATGCTGTGCCAAAAAAAGACAGAAAGACATTCTTAAAAAAATGTCACTTTTTTTGTTTTGAAATAATTATTAACATGTTACCATGAAGCACTGCTAGGTCATTCAGGAATTTGACTGTTGCTGACTTGGGGTTTTCTGCTTCAGAATTCATTGCAAAAAGATCTTCTTTTATCTGCGCATTGTGCTGCGAAAAAAATAATGACAACAGAATAGTTGCCACAGTTTTCTAAATAATTTCCAAATGGTTTCCAAATGATCTCTAGAGAGATCAGGAGCAATATGCTAGGTTTTAGCTTATGGAAATACAAAGCTTAATGTATTCCTCTGGACACGCTTTCCTTCAACAACAGCATCCATTTCATCTCGTTGAACAAATTTTAGCAGTTGCCGAAATCAACACAAGCCAGCTATGTCTGTGCTACCAAATAAAATGGATGAAGACGCTGAGAACAGCTGGAGCAGCACAGGTCGTGCGCAAACAGGGAAACTTCCTCACTCGCTCCCCCAAAATAAGATGGATTCATTCACGTTGGATCAGCTCCACCAGTACCCAGCTTGTACTGCCCTAGGTTTGGCTGAAATGTGTTAGGTGGCCCGGGTCAGGCACATTAAACAGCATTCCCTGGTGCAATATAAAAAAAAAAAAATCAGAAAAATCAGAGCTTCTCAGCTTCTGTTAGTGAACTGAACATAAGGAGAGGGATGTTTGTAGTGTAACCAAGAGTTTTCTTCCTGAGGGAAGCCTTTGTTTCCGTAAGGATATCATCAGACAGAGCTGCAGCGTAGCTGGTACCTACATCTGCAGTGCTAGCACACACAGACTCAGGCAGCTGCCCTCGCAGCAGTAGAGCTCTGTGCTTGCAGGCAGCAGGCAGTGCACAGGGTTCAGATCGTCTCGGAACTGTAGTCCGCGTGGCTGCACAAATGCGGGTTCAGGTCCGGATGGCAGCCTGGTAACAGTTGGCGATAGGACCACTTTTACTTCATGTGTTTTACGGGGAAGGAGATTCTACTACTCTGATAGCCTAGGCCCTGAAGGGTATATGGAATATTTTCAAAAGCATGTATTCCAAATTGCACAGGCCTATTCTACATCTCACGTTCATCTCAGCCCCCTTCATGCGGCAGGAAGGCCTTTTCCTACAATCCCTGACTGAATGCAGCAGATATGCGATATTGATTATGCCTC